ACTCGTCTCAGCAGCTTCAACCCAACATTCCCGACTAAACTTAACCACTTATTCTCATTTTTAACCGTGAAAACTCGGTTTTTAACGATTTACTCAAAACCGACCTAAAATGAAAAATGAGCAAAACTCTCCCCAATCCAAAAACAAACCAATAGAAACATACATAATCATATACATCGAAAGAATAATAAAGTTTCACACCCTTACCCGATTAATCGAAGCTTAGAAGTTTGATTCTTGATGATTCTAGGTTTTCTTCTCTTTCTCTTCCCTTCTTCTTCTTCTTCTTTCCTCTCTATTTCTTTCTATCTCATTTATTTTCTATTTAATTCCACTTATATTCTTTCTATTCTATTTCTCTCAAATAACTACTTATCAAGGATTATCTAAAACATCCTCTAACTAATTCCCCAAAACTATCCAAATAATAAAATAACATAATAAGCACATATAACATATTCAAGTTCAAATTCGACAATTAAAAGAATAATTCAATTAAAATAAATTAAAAGACTCAACAACAATGGAAAATTCAGAATCGGGGCGTTACACATACTCTCCACGAGGTCCAACTGAGGACTACCTTACACAAATTTTTTACCTATATGCTTGATATACTCGTCTCTGCCGACAGACCACTGATATGCCCTCGGTGAGGTCATCCCTAGCCTTAAGTACCTTATTGTTAGCTGGTTTAGGTGGTCTTCCAGAAGCGTCTGGTGTCATGATAGAGTGTGACATGCTATAAAACTATGTCATGTAGTCGTCAGCATAGGCCCATTGTACAGGAGCTAGTACCCTACGATACTCCTCTAGTACCATTGGACTCTCGAAATCATCAAGTATCACATCGAGATCTCTGCGGAGGACGGTGGAAAGAGAGGACTCATAAAAGGGTCTCAGAATAATTTGTAGATAGCTAAACTTCCGCATCACTTGCTCATGCAGATAAAGATACATAAAAGATGATCCACATGCTAGCCATCCAGAGTATAAGGAAATGACGACAAAAATGAATGTGTTTCACGGTGACACCCATATGGGCAGAAGTAAATGTCATATGTTACATGACGGACAAGATGCATTATAAATGGCTTAACCATGTTATTACCCATGTACGTAATAAATGTGGCAGCACATGGTCAACCCTTAGTGTATGTAGGCACAAGTTCTCAATCGGTAATGCAAGTGATGTGGGAGATGATCCATCCTTAAAAATAGTTCAGATACAATATTAATAACAATTATAACAAATGAATTGCAAAAATATTAGTAAGAGTAAATTACTGTAAGCAACCTGCAGCTCCATGTCATCTGTTTTGTCTTCCAAGACAACCGTCGCCCAGCTTCGAGTAAAAATAGACCAAACATGTGGTCCCCAATTGTACTCGTGAATTGCAGTCAAGTCAATAAAGTACTGAAGGTAGACCACGTCGACATATATTTCACTTTTGTCCACAAACATGGGTGTGCCAATCAAGAACAAGAGGTAACACCTCAATGCACAAGTTCGATAGTGCTCAACCTGCATATCATCACCTTCGTCATCCACAATCCACTGCAGGTGATCTTTATAAACTTTTTCCAAAAAAAAACTCGCATGAGCACCTCTTATGAAAACTGCCTCCTCTGAGGCCTCAATTGGGTCAGTCCTCAAATGGGTGACCATCATCTCGATAGCTTCCTCTCGACCGATCCTTTTATGGCCTAGTAATTTTCCCCTTACGAGAAGATGGAGGACACATGAGATGTCATCCAAGGATATGGTCATCTCACCTATAGGAAGGTGGAAAGATGAAGTCTCTGAATGTCACCTCTCTGCAAAATCTGTTTGCATGACGTCAGATATGGTCATGTACATAGCATAACATAAACAAGCAAGAACATAGTTATAAAGAACATCATGAACCCAAGCAGCAATGGGTTTCCCCAACTCCAATATCTTCTGCTTGTGATTTACTAATTTCAAACATGTAAGCTCCTATAAAAAGAAAATATCACCATCAATATCGATTTTTAATTAGTTGAAAACATATGAATTGCAAAAGAAAACAAGTATACCTCTCTTTCTCAGACATGCCTAGCAGCATGGTCTGCATTAGGGCTGGCAACGAACCAAACCAACTCGAAGATAGTTCGGAATTCGACTCGACAATTAAATCGTTGAACTAGGTTCATGAACCAAATGAGTTGAGTATGAGCGAAAAATTAAGTTCGTTAACTAAATGAGCTGAACTTGAACTATACATAGTTCGACTCGTTAGGTTCATGAGTCAACTCGATTACATATGAAAAGAATTATACTGTCTTTAAGATTAAGTTTAAATATTTACTTCAAATCTTAGACAAATTTAATCTTCAATTTATTAGTTTTTGAATTAGACTCTCAAATGTATCTCTTGAAAGTTGTGTAGGTTTTGAATTAGTAGATTTCAAAGATAAAATTAAATTTCAATATGATAACTTTTATTTTATTTTAATATTTTATTTTAAAAATATATATTTATTTAAAATGTCAAATATACTAAAAAATATATTTTTTTTAAAAAATAGTTTTTAAGTTCGTGAACCATGTGAGCTGAACCTAATGAGATGAACCTAACGAGTCGAACCGAACTGTTCGTGAACTTATAACGAGTCGAGTTTGAGCTTAAAAAAAAGTTCGTGTCGAACTCGAACTCGAACTCGAATTCGAACAATTCTTAACGAGTCGAGCCGAGCTGAGGTGAGTTCGACTCGACTCGACTCATTTCCAGCCCTAGTCTGCATAGAGATGAAGTAAAGAGGTGTCAAATGGTCTCATGGATAACCCTCTAATGGGGCATGGGGAAAATCTTCTTCTTGAGCTTCAAGGGCTGCAAGGTCTGCTGCATCACCTGTACACTCATGGCCTTGTAAAATGGATGTCTGAGAGAGGTGACTACGAGTAGCAGAACCAGATGGTTAGGAACATCGACGTTGTGAACCAGATGGTTGCGAACCATCAAACACTTATCATCAACTTGTGGCCTCGCGGTCCTGGTTACGACCCTCTCACATTCAGTTATTGCACCTGCGTTATAAATCGACACAGAGAAAAACAACATGTAAGGAAAAATCCACAAAATCAACCAAATTTTAGCCTGGGTCATATTCGGAGATGCAACTCCGAAAATAGTACTAGAAAAATCCAGAGAAGTGTCTTTGGATAAACCTAAGATTCTCAACCATGGCAGAAACGCCATTGTTGCCCTAACCCTCCAAACATATGTCAATGCATCTTCTTATAGGCTACCAACTTTGTTTACACTACTATCTAATGTACCAAAATAACTAATGTAGATTAAACAACTAACTACATATTAAAACATGAAAAGATATAGCATTTTGAAAAACTTATCAAATCAAATTGATGAGAAGTAGAACCTTGAATGTATGAGATGCTCGGAAGAAAGAGAAATAACTCCAATAATAAAAGTTTGAATGAATGGGTGAGAACTTGAATGGATGTGAGAGCTCAAATTTTTTTTAAAACTTTTTTAAAAATAAAGAATGAAGAGAAAAGGGTATGACACGAGGATATGAAACAAAAGCGTTCGAAAATATATGTCGGACCACCCACTAATTTTTTAATAAATGATGTTTGCAAAAATACATTTTCGGACTCACCTTTTACACATATGGAGATGCATCTCCGAATTTAATTTTGACAAAAATAGAGTGTCTCAACATTGTATTTATAAGTGTTTAAAAAGACGTGTCAAAAGATACATCTCCAAATATTATAAACAATTATAACATTTTACAATAGTATCTGGTATGGGCCCCGACCTGGCCATGCGGGCCCAGCCCAATAATATTCTACCAAATCCAGTCCAGCTTGGGCCACAACGTCGGGCACAGGATCCCCGACGAGCAGGAAAGGTGTCCCTGCGAGAAGGACCTGCCCCAACTACATCGGGCAGGAGACTCCCCTCTCGACCAAATACTGCCCTCCGCGGACATGACCTGCCCCCCTCGGGCAGAACCCGCACCTTGTCGAGCAGGACAACGTGTCCTTTACACGTCCTCCGCGGGACACGTCATCCGCCAACTGCTCATCTCCGAAAGAGCATGTCAACCCACTTTCCGGAGTTCACGGAGCAGTTGAACTAGGGCGAAGACCACGTCCTGGTCTTCACTACGCCACGTAAGCCCTAGCAGTCACTTGGGTTGGGTCTGGCAACCCAGCCTAACACAAGTGACCGTTGGCCCAGCGCTAAGGTCTCTCTATAAATACCCTCTTTCGCAAAAGGGTCAGGTAATTGACTTCTTACCCATTTTCTGTGCTTGTGACCACTCTGCCCATATACTTACTTTGGCATCGGAGTGCCTTGCAGGTACACCCCCTCCTCCTCCTCATCAACGGTGAACAGGTAACAGTCCAACAGAGTGTGGTCAGCTAGTGATTCCCTTATAATCAAGTCAGATCGGTCAGCTAGTGATTCCCTTCTAATCAAGTCAGATCAGTAAAAGAGCACACACAAAGGTCTAAGGAGCAATTCCCTTCACAATGGTGCCAGAGTACCTAATAGTCAATTTGTTACTAATGTATCATCAAACTTTCTTTTTATTGAAATAAATCATCCATCTTCGTTTGATGGCAACCAATAAATCAATCATCTATTATTTAAAGGTGTATGAAGTGCAGTTTGTATAATAATTTAAAAGATAAAATTATATAAAGTTAAATTTAGTCTATTTCCACCCCTAATCGCAGCTTTAAAATAAAATCGATAATATAAAATTTTATTAACCGGTTAAGAATAACAATTTCATTCAAAAACGAATAAAATTATTTGAAATTACAGCCAAAGCTTAACTACGGTATAAAATAGGCATACAAAATAAGTTTAAATGTTACATTTGCAAAATATAAAAAAAAAAAAAAAAAAAAAAACAAATTGATAACTGTAAATATTTGTTCCATATCAGAAGTTGGCAAAATCTAACTTTCATAGATTAATAAAAATCAGAATTTGTTACAATGATTTGTATTGCTCAATAAGATGAGATGCATGAAGGCGAGATGTAGGGGTCGTGGTGCACCCCAATTTCTTCAAATATGAGATCTGCAATAAGTCAAAAACAATTCATTGGCATTACATAGTTTCGGAATTTCTATGAACTTAAGGTGAGTAACTTTATAACTAAACCTTGATTAATCATATACCTCAAGAAGGGAAAACATCGTAATACCATAAGAAAAGAATGAACCATAAATATTAAATATGAAAGGCCTAATATGTCCTTTCACTTTGAAATTTTACCTGCTTGTCAGTTGGTGTTGCCGAACCCATTGCATTCTCAATCTTTAATTTCAAGAAATGTTCCTGAAAATGCAAAACATATTTTCAAGTCTCAACTGGATTATCAGAATAAAAAGGAAACTCATGCCGTAGGTTTACAAATAAACCCACAAACCAAAGTAGTGTAAACAAGTCAATATCTTCCCAATACAACGTCCATCATTTTCAAGTCAATATCTTTCGCTATGCATTTATAATACTGGTGAATACACCATTACTTGATAAGATTAGATTAACTTGGTAAAAAAAACTGCTTCATTTATAGTCTTTCCTTTCATATGTGTGAAATAAACGTGTCACTCATTGTGAAAGGGAGTATAACATTAGAAAAGACTTCTAACGATTATTTTGTTAATATTGGATATGTACTAGTTTAGTATTACTAGTACAAGATGTGTCACTCATTGTGAAAGGGAGTATAACATTAGAAAAGACTTTTAACGGTTATTTTGTTAATATTGGATATGTACTAGTTTAGTATTACTAGTACAAGATTACTAACGCACCATTAGATAGATAAATCAGTAACAATGCTAATATTCTAACAGATCCCATAAAATTCTAAATGATAACTACTGAACAGAGAAAGCACAGCTAACCTGTTTTTCCCTCATAAGATGAGCACGTTTATCAGCTGGAATTTGTTCCCATCTCAAAACCTACAAGGAGAAATTTCAACAGGATGTGGCAGAAGTTCCATTTTCCTCTAAAATCTAAAGATCCCTGTATCTCAAACGAAACAACATTTGGCTTTAGCAACAAGTAAAGGCACTTACATATTGAGCATACTGCATTGCTTCATCACAGCTTAAGCGGGACTTTAGAGAATTCAATAAATCCTGAAATTGCAATTAAAATAAGTCATTTGAAAGGATTAATGATCAACTGCCATAAATTCACAATAAAGGTTAATATTTGACAGACTGGTGTCGATAAATGAAACTGTTTGTCTGAAAGGCGGAGAAAGAAAAATTATGTCTTGTTTGTGGAAGAAAAAATAGAACATGAATATGTTAATCAGCATATGCTCTTAGAACCTTTTTTTACAGAAGCCTGAACCCTTTAATCATTGTATATGAAATAACAACCGACATCATTTCAAGTCAAATGGCTTGTAAGGTGATAACTGTCCAAGTCTTTTACCCACTACCAAGGTCTGGCTAGTCGATGTGATTCTCAATACACTCTATCACGTCCAGACAAGACATCTGAAGTCTAGAAAAGTGGCTGTAATAACATAGAATATCGCCCAACAAAAATTCGAGGATAGGTTCAACAAGCCCTCACACTCAGGACTACACATCTAAAGTGTGGACTAGTGCTGGCGAAATAACAGGGATCTCAATTCTCAACACCCTCCTCACGTCTAGAACTAGATATCATTTGGCTCATTAACAAGTCTAGGATAGACTGTGATACGATCCTAAAATTTGGGCTTGGGGTTTAGCCCATCCCTACAAAAATGATTTGTAAACAAGCCTTATAAGCACTACTTAGGCAATATCTCTAGTCAATGTGGGAAATGTAACATCCATCGCGCTTAGGATTGCAATCTAAAGCATAGTCTAATGTGGGTGAAAGAAAAAGGATATTTTCTCAACACTGTTAATATTGGAAATACTCACAACTAACAATAATATGCACATTCACTTCACTATAGATAATGACAAAGAATACATGAATGTATCCGTTAGAACCATTCCACATAACTGAGAATTTGTTAACGTGAAATAAATATAAATATTCAAGATCAAGAGAATGATGTGTAATAAAAAAACAAGCAGTGCAGAGTGATATGATACTGCAGACCTTGTGTTTGTTCTTCTTCTGTCTAAGGCGTTCATCAATTACAAAACCAACCTGAACATCCAATAGGAAAAAAATTAGTTTCAAACAAGCAAATTTAATAATATTCCTGCACAGTATCTGTGAAATGCCTCATTAACATTCCCCACTACTTATATTCAAGATAGACCGAATTATTTATACTTTACAACTATAACTTAGAGAGCGGAACAGAACTTCGAGCAGTATTTATTTCCACAAAGTCAATTATAAGGGACTTGATCAATTCAATTAATTTTTTTTTATAGCAATTCAATTTTGTATTTCCCAACAATAAGAAAATCCACACGAGTCTCACTGTCTCAGTTAGTTATTGAGTTCCAGCAATTCTATTTGAAGGATTTATCATAAATACAAACAGGATACTTCTTGGGCACAAAAATTGCTTTATTTTCATATGCATTTCATAACATATACTTGGTCAGATATTTAAAGGAACAGATGACCCTCTTTGATCCAATCTTTTCATCTTCTGCTACTTTTTTCACTTTTTTCTCAAAATTTTAGAAGTATTCCCAATCCATGTAATGGAGACTTCACAACTTTACATAGACGGTGACAACCTTGTCTAAAAGAAGTGCATCTGCTAAGTTTGAATAATTTTTTTATAAAAAATACATTTCACCATAACAAATTTGTATCATATTTTTCATTTAATAATAACTCAGTCCTAAGAATCCATTACTTTGCGATGAATGATCAACATAAATATGTCATACACGCACACAGGTAAGCCCAGTACAACTATAGAGTCACCTTATCTAGCAACCTCTTTGGATCTTGAAATGCTTTCTTTTTGGCCCATTTATGGAACATATGGGAAACAACAGATCTCTCTTCTACATTGAATCTGCAAAACAACAAATATATTATTATTATTAAAAACAATTTTTCAAAATTAATCATGGCTGAGATCATTAACGCGCAATAATAATATAATTGTCAAAATAAAAAACGAAACCTTCTTATGAAATCATTGCCATTGTTCGCCTCTGCAAATTCTGCAAGCTCATCAGAAGCCTCGCTAAAATGGTAGTTGAGCAAGTCATTTGGCACAGGGATCAGATCAGCCTCAGATTGTTGTTTTTTAATCAACAAATCAGTGGTACAATTGGTAGTTTCTTTTTGATGACCATCTCGCTTTATTTGTACTTCTTGCATATTTATTTCACTCTACACAAGAATATACCATTCACTGACTCACAACTTGTAAACATTGATGTAAAAGTTATGGGTCTTCAATAAAATAAGAAGAAATATTATTTGTAATATGGTAACTTGATACAAATAACTAAACACCATCACCTGTTTGTAAGGAATACAAGACTCTTAATCCTAAATAAATAGAAAAAAATAGGAATCAAATCAAAATAGTGACTAGGTAATATGCAAGCTAATCCTACGAGTAACTTAAGATTCTCAAAGGTTAGAAACTGACCCTACGAGATAAACTAAGATATCAAAAAATAATGCTCCCTCCATCTCTAATTATAAGCAATATCTGAGAAAGAAATTTGTCATTAAATATAAGCCCTCTTTCAAATAACTAGGTGCATTTATTATTTTTTCCAAAAATAACCTTAGTTAATACTCCCTGTCCCAAAATATAAGCAAAAAAAAACATGTTTTTCTTGTCCCAAATAATAAGAAAAAAAAATCAACTTTTATCTTTTTCAAAGTTAAATCAATTGCAAACTGCTTTAAATCCTTTCCTCCATAATCAATAGCCAATTAAAATTGTTTTTACATCTTCCTATGAAACTTTTTCATGAAAAACACTAAGTCTTAATCCAAATGATTATGTTTTGATTTTCTTTGTAAGTGTGATTTTTTATTTTTTCTCTCTCTTATATATGGGATGGAGGGAGTACTACTAATTTATCTTTAAATAAGATAAATCAATAATGAATATATCTATACACAAAGGATAATTTAGTAATAGTTACCCAAAGTGCGTACATTAATTACACTACCAACTTTTCTTAATATATATGAAATATGCAATAGGTGTTTATAAAAAGGAACAGGGGGATTATCAATTTCATATATTTTAACACTCCCCTTCTGCTAAAGTTTGTTACTGCTGAAATATAATATATTGTTTCCTTTTCTTATTATTCTAAATTTATGTTTATTTATTTTCTTTATATCTCTCTCCTGAAATTAAGGAGTTGATTGATTGTATTTTCTCCTATTAAAGGAGCCCTTGTATTCATAATAATCTATCACAATATTATAGTAAAACAATGCATTTCTCAAAAAGTGTTGAAAATAAAGGTTGAGAAGGCAACTCAGGGGTGCAGGAGAAGTCGGAGAGAATTGCTAGAAAGATAGTTTTTCTAGACAGTTGGAACGATCATCAGCATGAGAGAAATTTTGTGGCAATCAGTCGAGCAAAGTGAAGTCTGTCCTTTTCGAAACAACATTTGGAAACTGTAAATCAGTAATGTCAGGAACCCAAAAGTATTTGCTAGTATTTTGAAAAGTCACATTTGTAAAGCCACTATTGTGTCATAGTGCTGTTAACTTGACTGCATTTACTTATTTTCCTCTCAACTCTCGCATCCATAATCAATATCCTATGTTGTGTGGTTAGACTGACATAGTATAACTTTGCAACTCGTGAGAAGTGTCAGAACCAACTGTACATGTGTTAATTAGCTGTATATTTTATATTTAAATAGGATTAAAATCCCATAAATAGGACTTGGTTAGCTGAATAGTGTGTATGTATTTATAGAAATTATTGGCACTTAATTATAAAATTGACTGAGGGCAATGATGAGTATTTATTAGGAATTTCCTTTTCTAATTACATTGTATTCTATTTAAGAGCACATGCTCCTCTATCAATAACATGAGAAAAATTGTCTTTGACAAAAAGTTTTACATCCAATTTCCTTATAGAAAGGAACAAGTCTTAATATTTCATAATTTCCTTATAGAAACAAACAAGTCTTAATATTTCATAATGTTGATAAATGTAAAAGCCATGTAAATATAATGTTACGAGATGATTGAAGAAACCAAATATTCTAACAGAAAGGGTAAGGAATTCAAAATGACTTCTATTTAATAATGTGATAATCAGAGTTGTTTATGAAAATGCAGTGTGACATACCTGAAACTCTAGAAGATGATGAGGGATTTCTTTCAGAAATCGGGAAGGTTGAAGCATCTAGAGACACACAAAGTTAGCAAAATCCAACAACTACAAAAAAGAGCTGAAAGTTATGCTGGACAAACCTGCCAATTTGAGTCCACGGTGACATAGAGAATAAAAAGCTTCTGCCGAGCACGAGTCATTGCAACATATAGTAAACGTCTTTCTTCCTTATAATCATATAAGAAAGAAACATAACCAATAAGCAATTTATAACAAACTACAAGACAAAAAATGAACTTATGAATAAAATTATAGAAGAATAATGTACCTCAACTATGGCTGCAGTGTCCTTCACAACACCTTTGTATTCATGTAATAGAGGAATCTCAGATTCATTTGCCTATTTAATATACCAAAATAGCAATCAAGACTTTAAGGCAATATTTGTTTTCATAATAACTTTGAACAAACCAAGAAATGATGACCCTTGAACAAGGTAGTCAAATTGCAATTAGACAAATTCATCCCTCTTCTGAACGGTAACACTTGATTAACCAGGTGTAAATGCCAGCCATAAATTTATAAAATACCACATAAGTAAATATTAACATTGGAACAACTTCTTTGAATAACATTAGAAAACATGTTAAAGAGGCAAGAAATTACCATTCATGAACAAAGTAATCATATAGAAGATTCAGATCGCAATAAAGATATATCCTACTGCTATGTGAAATGCAACATTTGGTAATTGCACAACTGAATCTTCAATTAGTTTCTTAAAATATAATTTCACAGAAGTTTATGCATTTTTTCACTAATATTATGTAGTGACTTCCAATAAGAAACTGCTGGTCATGCTGCAGGTTACTGAGGCCTAATGGTGTGTTTGTTATAAGAGAATTAGTGTCAATGGAGATAATTAGAAGAGAAAGGCCGACTTTTTCTAGTTTGGTTTGAAAAGAGGTTGAGAGGAGAGAGATAATGGGTCCCACTGCTTTTCATAATCTTCTCTCTTATATAAGGAAGGGGAGTGCTATTATTTTCTACTTTCAATTTACACGATGGATTGGCTAATTCTGTATTTTGTGTCAATCGATCCTGGTCTTGTTTATCTTCCTTGGGTTTACATTTTTTTCTCCCTATACAGTGACCAAATTCTTATTAATAAATCAGGTAGTGTATATCATTCAGTAACAATGATGTGTTGCACCGAGTTATGAAAAAATTCTAGTATTTAGCTCAAACTGAACAAAGAAAAAAGTAAATTTCAATTGGAGATACGCATGAATTGAACAACCATCCAGCATTCTATAATAATATAATTAAACTATTTTGATTATTAATAAAATTCAAAAAGTAAAAAAGTTAATTATATTAAACTGATGTAATAGATTAACTCAATATACTTATCGGTTGAAATTATATAATCATTTGAATTTCTTATTAGTCATGTTATGTAAATTAAAATAAACTAGTCAAGTAATTTAATTTCTAAATTAAATTTTAAAAAATCAAGTTAATTTTGATAAGGTATAAAATTCAAGTTTTACCTAGACTAAAAAAAATCAAATTTTAACTGCAATCTTATTTATAAGAAGAAAAAGAAACTGGTGATTTTCTTAGTCCTAATTATAATAAAAAATCACAACCTTAAAATGCATTAATTGCTAAAGTTCCTTTTTATATCTTTATTAAGTACATTTCCATAGTTGGTGGGCGTATAACATTTACATCGAGGTTATATTTGGAATCACATTTCAAAATTAAAACATTAAATAGCTTACATTGGTATTGAATATTGATGCTTCTTTTTTCCTTTTATATATAGGACGAAAGGGAGTAGCTTGATTTTTTAGCCCAAGGACATTGTTGTCTTCTCAAAATTAAACATGCATCTTTCTCTTCTATTGCTTTTATTTTTCTTATTTACCAATCAATCTGTCAAATCTAGTTTATTTTTCACTTTTTCCCTTTTTTTCTCCCTTTCCTTTAACTTTTTCTCTTTACAACCAAACATACCCTAATTGTTGGCCATATAATTGTCCAAGGATAATATGAACAAATAGGTAGGTACGAATGCATTTGTGTTTCAAAAACATCATAAATGACATATTCACCAACTTGTTTTTGATCTAGACAAAAAAGAAATGCTCTAAATATTAAGGCATACCTTAACTATGAAGACAATATCCCATTCTAAGCCTTTCGCCTACAGGTCAAATGAGTTTGAACTTGCATTACTGTTGAGCTTAACTTTATTAAATATTTATCAAGCTGTTGAGCTTAGCTCCATTAAATACTAATCAAGTGGGATAGTTACCTGATGAATGGTAGTCAACGTCACAGAATTATCATTATCCTTCCTCCGAGCACGGAAATTTTCTTTCTCACGCTCAAATAAATAATCAATGAATGATTTTAGCACAAAAATGCAGCCTTTATCTTCTGACATTTCCTTTTCCCCTCTTATCTCAATGAATTTGGTAGACAAAAACTCAGATACATCATCTAATAGGTATTGAAGAACCTGAATAAAAGGTATATTCAATCTTAGATGAAGAAAGCCTAGGTAAAAATGAATTAACATGAAAATCAAAAGACATACACTTAAAATTATAATCATAATTTTGGAACAACATCTTCTTCCAAACATCAAATGCTATTTATTAAATTTTTAAATTGAGCCTAACTCCTCCTTACAAAACCGACTTATAAGGTGAGGAGTGTCATTCTTTATAAACTCTAATCAGACCTTATATTTATTCAGTGTGAAGCTTGGACTTTTCCCAATACACCCTAGCATGCCCAACGCTGTTGAGGTAGGTGTGTAGATATAAGTGGTGGATGGGTCGATTAATAGGTTTGATACCATATTAAGTTTTTATAATGTGTCTAACTTATCTTTACAAACCAGCCTTGTGAACTGAAAGGTGTCACTCTTTACTCTTGATGCATATTGCGCATAATATATTCCAAAAGGTGGTAGTCTATGATGCATAATGGGTACGGTATCCGGTAGGAGTACGTGTACTGATAGAGAATACGGCATTTAAAAAAACTTGGTTGTTTTTGAGTGTTCTTTATTATTAAGTTTTGTGTTTTGATTTATGAATATTTTATATGGTTTGAGTTATTTGTTCAATTTTACATTAAATATATGTTTATAATTATTTTATGTAATTTCTCCAAAATATGATTAAGGAGTGATCATCCCGCTATACGCTATTCCGTTATCCTACTTTTGGGATCAGTCGCTCTTGGAATTTACTACTCTGGTTCAATCTATATTTATATACATTTGTTTGCTAATATTTGGTACTCCTTAGTGCTAAATATTAGGGTTTTAATAAACTTTCGGCTTATATAAAGAGCTGGATATTACAAAAGCACATATATGTAGACACAACTAAAAATTACTATTGTAATTTATTTAAGTCCATTTTTTTCAACATAAAACAATGACTAATAGTAACTATGGTTTTATCTTGCATCAAAAACTTACAGATCTGATGTCATAGTCTTCATTCAACAATGTCCCTCCATCAACATCAACAGTGGCCCGTTGCTCAAGAAGGTACTTCTAAAATTCAAAGTTCACATAACAGTAAACATATCATGAGATTAATGACATTATATGGAACAATTTTAGAAAATAATATAACTTCATTTTACAATGTATAAATGTGTATTTCAAAACTTTAATTTGTTTATCTCCAAATTTATCTGAACACAATATTGCTGGATCATGCAATAAAAAAATTATATGTGTGATGGGTACGTACATTATCAAGAGTGTTTCTTAGAGCTATGAAATCTAAACATACAGTTAAAAACTAAACAAAAATATGCTCAACAAACACAATTTTGTATAATAAAAAATAGGGAAGGGAAAATTATTATTAATAACTGTGACAGTAATGACCATTTTACAACTGTTTTTGGTGGGATTTGAACCATGTCCCTTGAAGTTAAAAAGTCAAGATCTTACCTCTGGTATCATGTTTGCCACAGAATTTATGATAGTTGAAATTGAATTTTCCTGTCATAAATAAATATGGCATGCATTTCAAGTGAGAAAAGTATTTATTGGAAGATGCGAAAGAAGTCCATCATAAGCCTTGAATATTGCAGAAATGGTTAGGACTAAAAAAGCAAGTCATGTTGCATTTCATTTAGAGCATATACTAAGGAAGAGGAATATAAGAATAATTAAAAAAATCATTAATGTAAGATCCAATGGTAAATATTTGCTCCTACCACCTCTCATCATATTGAACACTCCTCTCATTCAATGTTTCCCACATATATGAAAATTGAAAGGTCAGCCGTCATCTCACCATGGTATACTTTCTCACCAATAAACACAAATAACAACAGTAGTCAAAGTGTACAGAAAGCATTTACCCTGTGAACAAGTTTTGATATGATCTCTAGTGTCGTTAAAGTCTTCCTTCCGTGGGTAAGCTCACTCCTATGATCCATGAGTGATGAAAGTCAGTATATCAATTAGTTTATAATACTACAAAAAAACAGTACAAGAATAAAGAGAAGATATGTATATAAAATGGCTTCACGGGCATTCTTCCCATGTATAAGCCAATGAAGCCACGGGTTTTTAAAAAAAGCAGGAACTACTACAAAATAAATCAAAATGTAAAACTAGATACATCCAAACTCCGAGCACAAATCCTGTGAATCTAAAGAATTAATAGCAATATAGATATCTTTCCAAGTAAAATGTGTATGACTGCGACTGTTTTCACCAATGTGTCTCTTCAGTAAAGAAACTCAGAACTTGCAGGATGGGGAAGCTTGTGACCTTTAATAACTGGTTCCACCTGCTGCTGCCATAGGTGAAAAAAATTATTATCTAATTTCTCAAAAGAAGTGTAGGAGATTTATCAACATGGATTGAGAAATGCTGATATTTGGCATTGCAACATTGAGCAGGATGGAATGGGTTGCAATGGGTTTGTCAGTGCTGGAACAAAGATCACAGACAGTGAAATAGGGTTTTCCCAAGGCAGTGAAGGTGTAGAGGCCTCAAGGTTTCTAAAGTTCGTTTCCAAGGTTCCAACCTCTTATTTAAATTCTCTTTCGACTCTCCAAGTAGGATTATACCATCTGCAAAATGTATGCATCTTGATGCTAGCTCTTGGATGCGTTCCGTGAATAATTCAAATAAGGTAAAAAGGTAGGGGCATAGAGTTGAACCTTGATGCAAACCTATTGTAATAGGGAAATCGTCTGTCTCTCCACCCTGTGTCCGCACACTATTCGATACCCATTCATACATATCTTGGATAGCTCGTATATATGCAATCCTGACCCCTGTGTTTCTCTAAGGCTGTCCACAAAATCTTTCTAAGCACTCTATCATACACCTTCTCCAAATTAATAAAAACTAAATGCAAGTCTCGTTGGTCCGTCCGATACTGCTCCATCACACATCGTAGTAGATAGATCGCTTCCATGGTACTTTTAAAGCATAAAACCAAATTGATTCTCAGTGACTTTAGTCTCTTTTCTTAATCTCCATTCAATCACTATTTCTCATAACTTCATGGTATGACTCATAAGTTTAATCCTCCTATAATTTGCACAATTTTGTATATCCCCCTTATGCTAATAGATTGGAACTAAAGTGCTTCTCCATTCATCCGACATTTACTTTGACCTCATAATTTCATTAAAGAGTATGGTGAGCCACTCAATACCTCTATCTCAGAATTTTTTAGACTTCAATAGGTATGTTGTCTGTCTCATTTGCCTTATTGTTACTCATCCTTTTCAATGCTTCCTTTACCTCTTGTTTCTGAATCCGACAGTAGTAATTATAGTTTCGATCCTCTTCTTTAATGGCGAATCTGCTAGAGTTCAGTGAGATATCATATCCTTCATTAAATAAAGTGTAGAAATATGTCTTCCACACCTATCCTTTATATCTTTTTCCTGAACCAAGAAATTGCCTTCTTCATCTTTAACACTTAACTTGATCCAAATTTCTTGTCTTTCTTACTCTTCCCATAGCAAACAGATATATAGATTTTTCTCCATCCTTGTTTCCCCTAAAGATTGGTATAATCCATCATAAACTTGGGTTCTTGCTTCATTCATCGGCTTCTTGGTCTCATTCTTAACTTTTTTAAACTTTTTCCACGTTTCGGCATTTTTACACCTTGACTATCTTTAAAACAACCATTTTTTACTTTAATTTCACTTTGAACAATATCATTCCACCACCACGATTTTTTACCCTTATGTCCAAAACCTCTTGATTCTCTCAACGTCTCTTTAGCCACTTTTCTAATCTTTTGGGGCATCTTATTCAACATATCATTAGCAATTCCTTATGGTTGTCCAAACCCTCCATCCAAGATCTTTTGCTAGAAACCTTCTTGTTTTTCACCCTTCAAATGCCACCACTTGATATGTAGCGCTCCTATGTGATAACCGGTCTCAAGTCCGAATAAAAGAGAAGGGTTGTGTTAGGCAGTCGACAATCAATGTAAAATTTTATCGAATTTTTATGACATGAATCAACTACGAAATAATGTGGGGTTCAATACTAATAAAATATTACATATACATTTTTATATAACATCATAAAACATTTGAGGACGAATTAGTTAACCACCTTTTAAAAGTACCAGAAATCTTTGCACTAAAGATGTCACGTGCGGCTGATAAGAAACTGCATTTTCTACTAGTTGAAATTTTGCTAATATGGTCAATTACCTGCAGATATAAGCACTAATATGAAACACGAACGCTGAAAGGATAACTTAAAATAAAAATGATATGAAGCCACGATGGCTATATGTTCCCTTATGCATGTCCAAACTGAAAATCATTATAAAACTTGTACCCTCTTTTTCATATCCTTCTCGAAAGGAAGTAAAGCCTTGAAGACTCTACTATATGAGTCATCATCACAACCAGGCAGTGCCGTTCGGAGCATAGCAATAATAGTTTTGACTACCTATTATAAAAAAGGAGAAGGTAAGAACTTATGGCATATATGTGTGAAGGTAAAGATATAAGAATTTGCAGATAAGATAGTTGTAAGATTATAAATGTTAAGAATTCCATATTGGATGAGAGATGGCTTGAAGATATGTTAATAAGTGTGGGTAGTACTCACCTACAAGTCGTTTTTGTAAGGTTGAGTTAGACTCAACCCAAATTTTAAGATGATACTAGAGACTATTATTAGAGACTATTATTAGAGTTTGGTCTAACACAACTGGTTGGTAAGGTGAGGGGTGTCACTCTATATAATGTGGGACTCTTAGCACACCCCCTCACGCTCAGGACGGGGACAACTGAAGCGTGGAAATAAATGGTGGGTGGCCCGATAGCGGAAACCATAGAAGGTGACCCACCGGATCTTAAACGAGTCTCTTGATACCATATTAAGAAATTGTGGTTGGGCCTAACTCAACCCTATAAAACCGGTTGGTAGAGTGAAAATTGCCCCCACTTATAAACACATGTTCATGCCATATATTGTCTGATGTGGGACTCCTAACAACTATCTAAGATCGATTGGGTCACCCGCTATCAAGTTTCTATTATCGGACCACTCCGATCACGTTCTAGATGTCATATATTGAGCGGTATGGGGGAGGTGTTATGAATCTAACATTGTATGAGAGATGGCTTGAGCATATATTTATAAGTCGGGGCACTCCTTACCTTACAAGATTTTATACGATTGAGTTAGACTCAACCCAAATTCTAAAAATAAACATAAAATTTCAAGAGCTTGTTAACACCGATATGAAACTAAAAAATACCACTTCCAAATCTGGTTAAGGTCAATGGAAAACTTACACATGTATTCAAACACATCTTTTAACAATATGTCTCTCATATTTTTTCATTTTCCTCTTTTTCAATAATAATATATAAATTTTTGACACTGAGATATTCTAATAGGGCTGGTAATGAACCGAATCAACTCAAACATAGTTCGAAATTCGATTTGACAATTAAATCATTGAACTAAGTTTATGAATTGAATGAGCAAAAAAATTAAATTTATTAACTAAATGAGTTGAACTTGAACTATACATAGTTCGACTCGTTAGGTTCATGAATCAACTCAATTATATATGAGAAGAAGTATATTGACTCTAAAAATAGGTTTACAGATTTACTCCAAATCTTAAACCCATATTTTCTTTTAATCTTACGGTTTTAATTGATCATTTATATTCTCAAGTGAGCAAAATATTTTTAAAAATAATTATATACACAAAATCAACATCATATAAATAATGATTTTTAAGAAAATAATTTAAAAATCAACATATATCTTATAATTTAAAAAATATCTCCCAAATTTCTTTAAATTTAAAAAAATCAAATATATCTTTTAAATTTCTTTTAATTTAAAAATATATATATATCTTCTAAATATCTTCTAATAAAATCGACATCATATAAAAATATCTTTAAATTAAAAAATAATAATAATTAAAAAATAATAATTAAAAAAAATAATTTTAAAAAAAATATATATCTTCTAATTTAGTTTAAACTATCTTTTATGAAAATATTAATTTAAAATGTTAAATATATAAAAAAAATAGACTTTAAAAAATAGATTTTAAATCCGTGAAACAAGCGAGATGAACCTAACGAGTTGAACCGAGTTATCCGTAAAATTATAATAAGTCGAGTTTGAGCTTAAAAAAAATTCGTGTTAAACCGAGTTTTAAACTGAACCAATTCTTAACGAGTCAAACTGAGCTGAGGTGGGTTCGACTCGACTCGGCTTATTTCCAACCCTATATTTCAGGATACTCTAAATTAGTCTAAAGATATAATAAGATATTTTACAATATTCTAACAAAAACCAACAAAGACAAACCAATTCTTCACCGTTCTAATGCATAACGAATCCGTTGACTTATTCCGGCTGAGTTTTATAACACTCGCATAAGCATAATATGCTCTGTCTGTGTTTTAGTTTATTTCATTGTGGGACATAAATTGTGGGAAGCACACGTAATACAACCAAAACCGTTAGATGTCAAATAATTAGTCTAACACGGATTTAACTTCCAAGGGAGAAAACACAACTATAGTCTACAATTAAAGGATTACGTTGAAATGGAAGACTATTGTTTGTAATAGTTAGATCCACGTAGTACAATAAGCAGTAACTGTTAGTGGAAGGGCGTGAGAATGATTCAAAGTTATACATTAGTCAATTAAAATTCCTAGAAATGAACACTTTTTTATCTTAATTAGGAAAACCAATACCTTTTTTCTGTAAAATGCCACACCATGAATGTTAAACGGTATTTTCCTATCCCGAAAAGCCATTTGGAAGGCTTTCCCTGATACCTGTAATCAGGAGAAAGGAAGAAGCAAAGACCATTAAGTAGATATTGGGCAATTGCTTTATATAGTCATAATAGTTATAGTATCAAGAAACATCACCCGCCTGCGGTAGAGAATTGCAATGTTTCCATAGGAACAGTTATCTGCTGAATGATTAGATAAAACTTCTGAGATTTTGTCAACAATAAATGCACATTGTGCATCCTCATTGTGACACTCCTTCATAACTACCTGTAGATTATTGCAAAAATCATTGTATATAAAAGGAAATTCACAATAGAGCTTGGTATATTTTTCAAAACAGCACACTGCAAGATGTATGTACCTTCGAACCAGAAGAGTTATCAGTAAGAACATTCTTCAACTGACATCGCTTGGCATTATTTTGAATAAGTGCAGATGCAGCTTCGACAATGTAACGTGTGGACCTATAGTTTTTGTTAAGCCTGATCTGAACCAAAAAAGTAGGTGATGTCCAAATGAAGACATTTAATATGGCTGTGTGAGTCAGGCACAACCAAAAAAGAATTAAGCATTTAGCATAAAAATCATAATCTGTGAAGGACGGGAGAAACCTCTTTGTAGTTTGGAAAATCATTACGAAAGGAAATAAATCCGGAAATGTCAGCTCCATTGAAACTGAAAATGGACTGTAAGGAAAATAAGCCATGAGACCAGTAATTAGAATGGTCTTTTAAATTCAGAGAGAAAACAATACAGATATCTAGCCAGTTATCTCATACATTAGGGATAAAGAAGAAATATTAAGACCTGATCATCGTCACCAATAATTGTTATTTTATGATGGGATGCAAGAGTTTTTAGAAACTTATATTGCATGGCACTAGTATCTTGGAACTCATCTATGACAACAGCTTTCCATGAATCCTGACTTTCTCTGAAAACTTCAAAATAGTTTGAACAAACAAAAATTGGAACCACAAACTGTAACAAGATAAATAGATTGTAGTTAATTTAATATTTTATATTTTGGAAAATATTCACCTTCGGGAAAATCAGTGAGTAGCTTCACAGAACAGCTGATCAAATCATGATAATCCAGAGCATTACACGATTTTAATATGTTACTGTAATTCTCAAGAACTTCTGCCTAATTTACAATCCAAAGCACAGAATCAGATATACGAAAGCAGAACAAGGATGTGTGTGTGCGCATATGGAAAACTCTTTAGCAGCTTACTCCTATTTCATTGCCCATTTCACGAAATTCTGCAGAAGTTCTTCCTGAGGCTTTGGCCTGAAACAGTATACAGTTATTGCATATGAGCAAGCTAAAATTTAACTACGGCATAAAAAAATATGAGGAGGGATTGAACACGCCATTTTTAACAAATATAAGCGACAAAGAGTGATATAGATTATAGGAATTAAGAAATGCACAATTCTATCAAGTTTTGTAACGTCAGAGACTTTTTGCATGTTTTGAGGTGTTCTATAGAGTCGTATAGATACAAGATGGGTTGCATTATGTGAATACTGAACTGGTCAAAAATACAGTTTAGAGTAAATTCCTGCATTATAATTGATTATATATAATATATTTAAGATAGGCTGTAAATTGTTTTTGATCAACTATCCATGAGATAGCCTTACTAAAATAAACTGAAAATGGCTTATAGACATGCCATAAGCTATTTTTATAAACTCTCTCAAATACTCTGACAAGTGATTCTGCTAGTAGATAAGTCCAAATAAATTGTTCATTTGTCAACACAAATGCTGCAAATGTATAATTTAGTCAAGGAAACATGTAGAAATGAAATAGTTTTAGATTATTATTCAAGTCAGAAAACCATGGAAAGATCCAAGTATGCATGGAAAAATAAAAGTTCACCTCAATACCATTTCAATCAATATCTAAACCACCACTTTTTTCTTGTATATAAAAAGAGAGTGTTATTCTCATGTTTACCTGCATTGTGCACACAAGAGATGATAATCACTAAGGCCTAAGCACAATCGTTGCCTACAACAATAATCAAACATTACGTCATTTGGTGCAGCCAACTATGAGCATCAAACTACATTATTGTTCTCATACAAAAACACTATTTAGATTGGCTTAATTTAAGGGATTTCCTGAAGTTCTCTTCATTCATTCCCTCCCTCTACTAATCAATCTATCATATAATCAACCTAACCACCTTTGGCAACTATATGTCATCTTCTAATTAGATGCTGCTTGAAGTTTCTCCTAAATAAGGTTCTTCCGAATCTTATTTTGTTTTCTTAAGTCCACTCATAAACCACAATATTAGCATCTCTACTAAGCATACTGTTTGTTCTTGCTCACTCTTTTTTTGTAAGGAAACTCTTTGGCACTTTATTGTCGAACATTCAGTGATATAGATCCCTGCCGGTATTTACAAGTAAAGCACTTTTTTATTTCATCCTCCTAGGCCTAGCCTCAACCCTATCACTTTGTAAGATGGATCCAAGATGCCTAAACTATGCAACTTATGGTAGTCCCCAATTTTGACCTCCTACACATTGCTAACTCTAGGGGCAAACCAAACCATTTACGCCCAAAAATAAATATAAAAAAACTGGTTACCCAAATAGGCTCAGTACCAGCTGACCAATTCTGATTTAGCAACTGAATTCTTCGTCGTCTTTCAAAAATCAAAACCCTATGAGCAGCTTATCAACGCAGCTCAGCCACTGCCGTCCTTGTCAACCGCCACTATCTATTTCTCCAAATCACAACTCCAAAATTTCGGTTCCACCACCGAACTCTCCGCCCTGATATCACTTTTGTAAGTTTCATCTTATTCTCTTTATTTTTCACCTTTTATAAATTCCTTTCTCGTCTTGATTTCTTTTGAGGTTTATTCTCTATAATTCTACCCGATATTTCTGTGATTGATTTGCTTTGAAATGTTTTTTATTTTACTTTGGCTTCCATGAATATCTCTATGTTCATAATCTCAGTGAGGAGGATCCTCTGTGTTCATCAAAATATGTTTCATTCACATCTCCAACCACTACACATGCATCAGGTTCGTTGTAAACCCTCTGATTCCAAAATTTCTCTTCAAAATTCAAGTTTACAATCTTTTCTACACTTATCTCATCAACCAGGAATATTCTCCACATAATGTTTGCATTGGCACTACTGAACAGTATGCCCAGAATGTGCCCACTGAGACATGTCAAATTCCCACTCTAGTACCGACTAAAAATAATAATAACTATAAAAAATTAAAAAGTTAAGTGGAAATTAAAATTTAATAAAGTGACACTAACGGCTGTTTTACCGTGTCTTTGAACTTTGTCCCTTGAAGTTATAAGGCTAAGCTCTTATGGATATTTCATGGACAGAGTGCCAACAAGAAAATAGAGGAGCGCACTGGAATTGTGTGCCTGAGACAAACCTCACAATGCTACATTTATTGTTTATACTCAAAGTATTAATTCAGGTTAAAATCACAATAGTGATTCCTTAACTAGAGCACAAAAGGACCTAATACACTGATACGAACTGTAGTTGCAAGATGTATTTCTAGTATAAAACATCACTTCTATAAAAATCAAACATCTTTGTCAGCATAATCATAAAATTACATAGCAATCGGGGTAGGCTAATGTAGATATCGTAAATTAAGCATCAGTTTATTGTTTGAAAAGGAAGTTTAGAATGAGTTTCTATTAAAGAAGAATCACACACCTGAGTCACAAAACTTTGCCACTTCTTTGCCTTATCCTTAAACTGTTTAGGGGCCTTTAGACTATCAGACGCTTCTCCAATCAACAACTCGCCATTTTCATGTTTACTTATTTCGTTTTCTAATAATCGGGTGGCCTCAATAATTGCATTTCGCTGTTGCCATTGTCCATATATTAAGAATTCAGATGTACGACCTAACCTGCAACATATGTGTCAATAATAAAAAGAAGATTTTCAGGCATCGTAAGTTTAAACTTTTTATGGGTGCAAGTGCAACAGATAGATCACTTAGATCCAGTCATGATATGTCTATTGTGGTCAATTTACTAGGTAATAAGTCTTAAAACCTGAAACGGCGTATTATTTTTCATTACATGTTTGGTTTATTGCTTTATCATATATATTGTTTGTGTACTTCTTTTCCTCCTTTCTCTAACAAAGTTTCCTTTCAGGTTCTAAGCAGCTTCCCAATATTTACCTCCACTGCTCAAGCCAAAATTGTGGCAGTATATGGTTTTTTTATCAACGGCACATGGTTTATGCAAGTACATTATGTGTTTGGTAGGAAAAGATTGGTGATATCGTTAGACATGTCTCTCCCTCTTCCATGCCTCCACTTATGACATAAAGAGAGAGTTGACAACTATATTGCATCTTTGAAAGGATTGTTTATTTCCTCCCTTTTTCAGTCTTGCAAAATATCTTTTCAACCCTTTTATAAAAATTCTTTCATTAGTGTTAAGAGTCCCACATCGGACACTATATGACATGAACATGTGTTTATAAGTGGGGACAATCCTCACTCTACCAACCGGTTTTGTAGGGTTGAGTTAGGCCCAACCACATTTCTTAACATGGTATCAGAGCCTCGTTTAAGATCCGGTAGGCCACCTTCTATGGTTTCCGCTATCGGGCCACCCACCATTTATTTCCACGCTTCAGTTGTCCAATCCTGAGCGTGAGGGGGTGTGTTAAGAGTCCCACATCGGACACTACATGACATTAACATGTGTTTATAAGTGGGGGCAATCCTCACTCTACCAACCGGTTTTGTAGGGTTGAGTTAGGCCCAACCACATTTCTTAACAATTAGTATATCCACGAGTTTGATTGTCTAGGTTTTAAATTAAAATTTTAGCTTCTCCTGGCAATAGTTTTTGTTTGAAAACCAACTAAGTTTTTTCATAACCCAGCAAACCCTTAGGGTGTGTTTGGTTCGGGGTAGATGGAGGGGAGGGGAGGGGAGGGGAGGGGAAATTTTTAATTAAATATGTTTGGTTCAAATTTTAGGAGGGGAGGGGAGGGGAGGGGAGGGAAGCAAAATCCCTCCAAAACACACTTTTTGGTTCCCTCCGAATTGGGGGGATTTGGAGGGGAGGGGAGGGAATATGAATTTTGATATTTAAAAATTATTATATTTACTAAAATATCCTTAGTTTAATTTCAGTATTTCAAAACTATTTGTTTTCTTTTGTTTTACTGTTTTTTCTCGATTGTTTTCATCAACTTATTATAATTGTTCTCCGCCTTCAAATTATTTAATAATTTTTATAATTAATATAAATCATAATCATTGTCTTTTTTATATAAAAAAATTATGTTTCGTTATATTCATTTTTTTCTTTTAATTTTGTTATGTACTCTATCATTTTTTTTATATCAAATTGTAAACCATATCATTTTATTTATTTTTGTTTATTCATTTTATTAAATATTTTGAACCATTAATACTTAGTAATAAGTTATTTTATATATTTGTTTTGTTATGTGATTCATCACAATTTAAACGATGTTATTAGCATATAGTTTAATTTATGTTGGAAAGTTATAAGTCGAATCAATTGTACTCAATTTTTTTAACTTTATGTGACAAATAAATACTTTTTTAATCACTCAATATTAGAAATTTTATTATCAACAAAAATACGCACGAATTATTCACATTTTAATATCATATGACTTATATAAGATCATAAGGATAAAAATGTAAATTATTAATAAAACCCCTCCCCTCCCCTTCTGAACCAAACACATTTTTTATTAAAATCCCTCCCCTCCCCTCCCCTCCTCTCTTTTGAACCAAACACTTATTTGATTAAAAAAATCCTTCACCTCCCCTCCCCTCCCCTCCCCTTCATTAAAATCCCTCCCCTCCCCTCCCCCTCATTTGAACCAAACAGACCCTTAGTATCAATGGTGGATAGCGTGGCGAAGAAGCTGACCCCCAAAACACTATAGTGGTATAGCGGTAAGCGGTAAGGCCACTACGTCAAAGTTTAGGGAAAGAGTGTACAAGAAACTCATACCATAAACACAAAAAGCTTAAAAATAGAAGAATACACAACATTAAAGACATATTCATAATTAATAATCAAAGTTCATTGCTGACAATATTCAATCCAAATATAAAGCAAGTAAATTTTAGTCTCTAAGATTAAAATAAACCGTCTAAACATTTAAAACGAACACAAGTGATTCCTTTAGGCTTTGTTTGGGAGATTGGAGGAGAGGGGAGGGGAAGGCTTCCGAAAATGAATTTTTAAAAGAATACAGGAAATTATTTGACATTTTTTGAAAGAATGATTATGTATAGAATGATAAAAGAGTGTTTATCATTACTATAGTTTTAATTTTTAGAATACTATAACAACACAATATATTTTGAAAATTTATGTAAGCCCTCCAAAACCCTCCTTCAATATAAATTTTGAGTTCTCCCAAATTAGGGGGATTTTGTGTTATGAATAAAAACAAACCCTCCCCACTTAAATCCTTATATTATTTCCACTCAATTCTTTCCTTTTTCAAAGTCTTCCCCTCCAAACTCCCAAACAAAGCCTTAATGAACTCACTATCTCCAAAGTAATGAACACAGATGGTCGCGAGAAAGGGCTGCCAAAAAGCTACAGATATCAAAAAAGCAGCAGAAGGTGAGAGGGGAGATGAACTTGTTTTGGAGAAGGAAACGATGAGACAGGGAGGCCCTGTTTTGATGTCATTCTGAATTTAAGATGAAATGACCAAAAAGTCTTTAAAAACAAAGGGAATAGCTATAAATTTAGGGGGGAAAACACGGATGTTTTGCATGAAATGACCCAAAAAAATTCAAAAAATAATAAATTACAAGAGTTTCATTGTAGTGACAGCTTCAGCCACTATTTGGGAAGTGTATGGCTGCTATTGAAATTTGATGGTGCTATAACCACAACAGAATGGGTTTTCTCATGGTAACTAAGTGTACGCAACACCATTATAGCAGCCACTGTTAACATAGAGCAAACCACTCTCAAAGATGAGAATATGAACACTTGGTTAATATTCACTTAACCATTTAACTAGATTACTAAAGTGTGAGAGTTTTACTTCAATCTCCATTCCCAACACCTCAGTCAGTGTAGAAGTAAACATGATAAATTTATAATAGAAGTTATAGATTTACATTTCCACCAGTTTGCATGGACATCACTAATCCACCATACTAACAAGAAAGTAGGATGTGTCTACATAAAAGCGTTCCAAGGACTCTACCTATAATGTACACCGTACACCCTTGGGAAAGTTGGTCGTTTACAAAGAAATCCTAATGTATATGACATATTTACTAATTGTCTGAACTATTTTCCTTTGGAACATTAATATATATCATCCTATAATATTTACCTTATACTTTGAGCCAACTCGGTTTTGTACTACTGAGATGGTCTTAATTAGACCTCATATATCATCGAATTTAGGATTGGTTTCACGTCTAGATATTTAGCCCGGTTAAATTTTGGGCTGGGTAAAAGATAGATGTAACACATTCCATGCTCATCCAAACATATGAAAGCTTATAGATTAATTGTACTTAAAATTTTGGGTTGGGTCTAATTCAACCCAAATCCTAAGATGCTATTACTATCCAAGATTTGTTAGGAAACCCACTATTGGATCACTCAGGTCACGCTCCAAATGTTCAATCTTGGGCAAGGGGTGAGGGATGTTAAGAGTCTCATATTGGTTGAGAGTCGAGACAATCCCCGAGAAATGTGTTTATAAGTAGAGGCTGTTCTTACCTTACATTTTGGTTATGTAAGGGTTGAGTTAGGCCCAATGCAAAATCTAAGATGAACCTCAATGCATATGGCGGAATGAACTAATAAGCTAAACAATTTAGTAGTATTACAGTGTCAAAACCAATACTCCTTGTATGATCAAGGAAAGTATGCACTGCACTGCATGTTTTAAGAAATACAATTTACAGTTCATTCAAACCTTTAAATGCTGAATAATGCACTTATAGTCAAGAAAATTATGCTCTTAAAATTTGGATTTGGCCTAACTTACAAAAGCCGCTTGTAAGGTGAGGATTGCATCCCTTATAAACATATGTCCAGGTCATCTCCTATCCAATGTGGGATTCTTAACCTATGTATTAAATAGAATTTATTGCTCCTTAAAGTTAAATATATGAAAATGTACTTAAGCTATCTTATCATTAGTAGATTCAATTCAACTACTAAAGGGGAACAAATTAACAAAACATATTTCCCACATAGCAAGAATTTAGACGAGTTATCAGTTTGAGGAATAGTGGATTATGAATCATGGCAAATGCCACACTTAGCATTTAAATAGAAAGAAAGCTAACGAGAGTAGTAGACACAACACAAAGAAGCTCACAAGTTGGAACTTATAAGCTGCAACTAATTGACAAAGTAAGAGAAAAAATCTCCAGCAAATTCAGAGTAACTAACTTTTCTGCATGTGAACGACAAAGTTGCAAGCAAAATGAATGAAAAGTGCTGATTGTAAGTTCTTTTGCTATTTCCTTCCCAGTTATGGCTCCAACACGTTTTCTCATTTCAGTGGCTGCTGCGGATGTAAATGTCATTGCAAGAATGTTTGACGGACTAATGCCCTGCACACATTTAGCGGATAGTGGAAATTAGAAGCAAAAAGATTTAAACACATCAGCTCAAAACAAATCAACTCGGAAACAGAGAAAAAGAGGGACAAGAATGAAAGATAAGTGTACTGTATCTATATCATAAATCGCAGAAAAAAAATGTGTCACCTCATTAAGCAGCATCAAAACTCGCCCAACCATTGTAGATGTCTGGTATCATCAATAAATAGAAACACTTCAGTTCCAATATAAAAAGCAAATACTCAAAGGAAAAATAAAATGTTGACGAAGCAGTGTTTATAAAACCTTTCCACTTCCTGGACCAGCTACAATCATTAAAGGAGTGGAAACATCAGTGCAAGCTGCTTCTCTTTGTCTATCATTTAGGGATTCCAAGTATTTAGAATATTCCTCCGGCATGGTTCCACTCAATAAACCTTGCCTAGTACTATCACTATGCACACATTCTTCTTTATGATCCAAAGCAATCCCAGGACTAAACATGTCACCATTTCCTATGCCCTTAGAAACAGAACTAGTTCCTGAAACCAGATCAAAGTTACCAACTACACCGCTCTCACTCAAAACTTTTTCATGACAACTATCATCTAACCCCTGCCAGAATGCTTTCACCGCAGATTTCTGCTCACAAAGAATATCAATTTGCTCCAAAATAGACTCATCAAAATCAAAATCTTCTACACCATTAGATAAAGCCCTAGTTCCCGAACCTATACCACTATCACCAACTACATTGGTTTCGCTCAAAACTTTCTCCTGACAACTGTGATCTAACCCATGCCCAGCTGCTTTCACCGCAGATTTCTCCTCACAAAGAATGTCAATTTGTTCCAAAATGGACTCATCAAAATCATCATTTCCAATATCCTTATAAACAATATTACCAACTACACCAATCTCGCTTGAAACTTTCTCCTGACAACTATGGTCTAACACCTGCCCAGCTGCTTTCACCCCGGATTTCTCCTCGCAAAGAACATCAATCTGTTCCAAAATGGAGTCATCAAAATCATCATCGAATAGGCCACTTCCAGAAAAGTAATCAAGTGTTTCAGTTTTAACTCCTCCAGGTATTTTCCTTGGAGTTTCGAAATTCGATTGACACAGACTCTCCTTCCCAACCACTGTCCTTGCAATTGAACTGCAGTGAATTGCGTCACAAGATGCTTCGCCGCCATTCCCTGTCGAATTGAGTCTGTTTAATGAAACCTCTGCAAGAGGAACTCTCTTCGCAAACGAAACCCTACTCGCAGCACGATCAACATTGCTTGAGCCTTTAATTCTAGAAACAAAAAGAAATCTCAGATTATGAGGGTTTCAATAACGAAATCAATTTGACAAATTGCTTGCGTGATGACAATTGCAAGTGAATTAAATTGCTTAATTTTTTACGTGATTGAGTTTTAAAAACCTAATTGAACAGAAAATGGTGTTTGAGAAAATGAATGAATATAAAGGAACGAGAGGAGAAAGAGTAGTTACTGATATGGGGAAGAGGTAGTGGAATCATATGGTCTTTTTTTAGGAACGAGTGGCTTTGAGGCGCTGAAATACGCACTGATTCGACCACTTTGTTGGTCTGCCAT